TTCTTAAATCAATGAATGCAGTCATTTTCCCCGCCGATAAGATACCTACGTTATCGGTGACGTAACGCAACGGAATGTACATCGATCCAATTATCACTTCGCCGTAATCGCGGCGCTAAATAATCGGACGCAAACGAGTCACATGAAGGAAAAATCTCGCCAAATTGACCCGACACAAGCACGGTTTTATTCGAAAAACTACAAGTCCATCTGTTCGGTAAACGCTTTGGCAACACGAAGCGATTTTCTTCTGACGTAAGTGTTTACTGGTCGAGACCAAGTCTTGCGATAATGCAGCGATAAGCTCAAGGTCGATGTGTTTAACCTCTTCTTCTGTCGCCAGAGCAGGGGCGTAACCGGCGAAAATTTCGGAATGTGCGTCGGGAAAATCCTCGCATATTTGTTGTTTTATCCCACGCGCGCTGGACGCGCGCCAATTCGGCTAAATGTGTCGAATGTTAACAATTAGGTTATGCACAACTACGAACTAATTAATTTCTTCGGGCCGCCATTAAGTAACTTTCTAAAAGTAAAGGCGGAACTGATTGCTGCAAAACAAACATTCCAAGTAGGTTATCACTGAATCGGAATGGTTGGAAGTGCAGCGATGAAGCGAACCGATTTTGGGTATCGCGGAGGAATTTTTATATTTAGACGATAAAATTTATTTATAAACGGGCCATTAAAAATGTTGAGTTGGTATTAAAAGTTTTTGCCATTTTTTGCTATTTTTAGTACGGAATTGGTACTAACCACTCGGGGAAATTTCATATCAAGGATTATTTAACAACGGATGGTCTAAATAATTGTATAACACAACAACGGTGAAATCTGGTACACCACGTTAAGAACCGTGAATGTAATTACTAATACTGTCATTGATTGACTTTCTAATAAAACTGATATTGTAGCGCGATTAACGAAAAAATCGACTGGAACTTTCAATTGGTAGCACTGACGTGAACATAGTCGAACAGGTTTGTTCGACGCAAGGGTCAGACCCGACTAACGTGTAATAACTTGTCTTGTCTTGTCAGGATATAACCCCTCTGATGAACAAACTTGTTTGTCATTTTCAAATCAATTATGATAATCGAGGGTCGCACAGCCTGCTGCCAACCAGAAGGCAAACTAATCGGTCGATACTCACTAGAAGTAGAATAGTACATAGTTCTTGGTTTGTGCATGGCCATGGAGCGTATACAGATGAAGTTAGCCGTGACCCGTGACGCACAGTTATAACAATTATAACGCTCGCTGCAGGTCAAAACAAGTTGAACATTGAAAATTTAATTTTCTTATTTAAAGAGAAAACGTATAACGACAATCAATTGTGTTTTTGTTTTAAATTTCAATTTACTAAGCATAATTTAGTACGTATGTATTGTAATTTCATGTTTCTCGACGTTTCATAAATCTTAGAATATGAAAAAGTACACGATTTATTTTTGAAATCAGCACGTCAATTTTTCCACTATGTATACCGGATGTAGTACCTGCTACGGTAAGAGTGATTTTGGCAAATAATATATCGTCTAAGAAAAGAGAGGGCGGGTGGGCGGAGCTAGAAACTGCTATGATAAAACTGATTTTAGTAAATGACGTATCCTCTAAGAAATTTAATTAAATTATTGTAAGATTGGAAGGCTCCAAAGCACTTTCAAATTCTTTCCAAACCTCAAGATCGTTTAAAATTTTTCAAAAAAAAAGGTGGTCCCATAACAACTCAAAAACACGTCAGGTCAGAATTTTCCATAAACAGAACACCAAATTCCCCCATCCCATCCGTCTGGATTTTTCGTTCCATGGAAGTGAAAATTTGAAAAATTTGACATTTCCTCACACTATTTTTCGTGTTTCACATAGCAATGTCTCGTAGACAAACGAGGATTTTGTAATTAAGCTCCGCCCGACGACTTACGACGGCTCAAAAAAAAATAAATCACGATTGAGACCGGGCGGGTGGGCGGGGCTTATATTTTGTCAATTTTTCTTAACATTTGTAGCCATCTGTTTTAAGTTTTTGTTGTGAAAAGGTGACTACGTATGTTAAGAAAAATAAGACAACGTGTAAGCCCCGCCCGCCCACCCTACCTCAATTCTGATGATTTTTTTTATTCGTCGTTAAGCCAAGAGGGCGGAGCTTAATTGCAAAATCCTTATTTCTCCACAAGAAATTACCACGGAAGACATGTTTTCGAGTATCGCGTTGTTAACGAAAATTAGATGTATTAAGTAAAAATTAAAGCCAGATTGAGATCGAGACGGATGGGTCCGGGGCTTATCTTTTGCTTTTCTTTTTTATTTAAAAAGTATATACGGTTTTCTTTAAACAGCATGATTACGCAAGAAAATGTTTCACATAGCAATTTCTCGTAGACAAACGAGGATTTTGTAATTAAGCTCCGCCCGACGACTTACGATGGATAAAAAAAAATAATCACGATTGAGACCGGGCGGGTGGGCGGGGCTTATATTTTGTCATTTTTTCTTAACATATGTAGTCATCTGTTTTAATTTTTGTTGTGAAAAGATGACTACGTATGTTAAGAAAAATAAGGCAACGTGTAAGCCCCGCCCGCCCACCCTACCTCAATTCTGATGACTTTTTTTATTCGTCGTTTAGCCAAGAGGGCGGAGCTTAATTGCAAAATCCTTATTTCTCCACAAGAAATTACCACGGAAGACATGTTTTCGAGTATCGCGTTGTTAACAAAAATTAGATGTATATTAAGTAAAAATTAAAGCCAGATTGAGATCGAGACGGATGGGTGGGGCTTATCTTTTGCTTTTCTTTTTTATTTAAAAAGTGTAGGTATATGGTTTTCTTTAAACAGCATGATTACGCAAGAAAATGTTTCACATAGCAATTTCTCGTAGAAAAACGAGGATTTTGTAATTAAGCTCCGCCCGACGACTTACTATGGATCAAAAAAAATAATCACGATTGAGACCGGGCGGGTGGGCGGGGCTTATATTTTGTCATTTTTTCTTAACATATGTAGTCATCTGTTTTAGTTTTTGTTGTGAAAAGATGACTACGTATGTTAAGAAAAATAAGACAACGTGTAAGCCCCGCCCGCCCACCCTACCTCAATTCTGATGATTTTTTTTTATTCGTCGTTAAGCCAAGAGGGCGGAGCTTAATTCCAAAATCCTTATTTCTCTGTAAACAGCATGATTAGTAGTTCTCCCGTTTGGTCTAATGTTCTCTCGTGCCCTACTGACGTTTTTATTACTCAGAAACTGCTGATTTAACACTTGTGAAATTCATTTCGTCGAAAAATCCTACCACTTTTCCAGAATCCCCAATTCAAATGTGGGAAATTTTAAAATTTAAGAAAATTGACGTTCAAACCGAATATTGAAATAACAATTTGGTTCTTAAACAACTTTTTTTTTGTCAACCTTTCAAAAACCTCAATTTTTCCCCCATGACTTTTTGATCATTTTTCACTCACTTTCGAAAATTAGCCCGAGATTTTTTTGTTTTAGAGCAACTACATAAAATTTAATTTTGCGATTTTTTTTCTGATAACCTTTATAAACTTAGAAAAGTATAAATGCACAATTAAAATTTTTCTTACAAACATATAAATATCAAAAAAAAACTCAACACGGATTCATAAATCACAAGTGGAGGAGTATGTTATTTTATAAAATTTAAACAAATTTTTTTTAATAAACATACTGAAAAACATTTAAATTTCACTGTCACAATAAAATGAATTTAATAAACTAGATATAGGTCATTTTTGTACAACTTAAACCCGAGACGCGAAGAAAACTAAAAGAAAAATTAATTTGTTTTTATGGTGGTTACACTTTCGGGTTGATTATTTATTGTTCAAATAAACACCATAATAAAAATAAAAGCTGTCCACGACATAATTAATAACAAGCGGTAGAAAAACAATGTCGGAGTCGTTGTTTTTTCAGCCTGTAATGTAATTGATACATAAAGTTAATAATAAAAATTTACGATTTTTTAATTTTTCCGTTTACCTTTACAATGACATTTACTATCCGTCATAAATTATGTAACATGAGTTTAACAATTTCACTATAATCTGGTTTCAACGAGCCGGAGAAAAACAAAGCCTGCTTTGACCAGCTAATCGTTTATGGACGCTTTGTTGCCGTTGTTGGGTTTCTCTCTGTGTATAATAATAATAATAGTGAAAATGGTCAAGATCATTTGGCACTGCGTTGAACAAAATTCGGCTCAACTTTGAAATGTTTGGAGATATTAGATCAGCAGTTTCGTATTACATAAACAAAATAAGACAGATAAGAGAGTTTATCAAATATGTGTGAATTTGTTCTTTTATTGTATGTTTTAATAAGCTGATTGCGACGAAATTGTTTTCGTAAACAATGAGACATTTTGTATGATTTTTGCTTAGAGGTTAGTTAAAATGGCGCAGCGTGGATTTGTGATCGAAGTGGGCCGGGTGTGTTGTAAATAGTACGTATTAAAATGTTGCAAGTCTAAGTAGGCTGGCCTCGTAATCAGCTGCGTTTATTCCATAGACTGTACGCCTGTCACTAGCCGCGAAGGTGCGACGTTGCCGCCTCTCACCCCACATACGTCAATGTCAAACAGCCAAGACCGAAGGCATGCGGAACATGCCCGTTTCCACGGGGAGGCGCCGGGCGATCTGGGGCGACGGCTGTCGGCGGAGCGCCCGCCGGGGTGAAACGGGCGCGTTCTAGGTACCCCCCGAGCCAACCTCAAGAATCCAGACCGTTACGTTTAGAAGCGGCAACAGCGCCTCACCGGAGTATCGGTTCGTTCACACGAGATCGGCGAACACCCGCAATGTTGGAAAATCGGCTGGAAAACCGGGAAAGCCGGCGGGGCCGGCCTCCTGGGGGAAACGGGGCGGGCGTCGGGCCCGCTCCCGCGCGGCCGAGCCGTGTCAGGCGCGGGGACGGCCGGCCGCGGTTAGCGGCCGGGGGCGGCGCCGGGGCCGGCGTCGCGACTCGCAGGCACTCACCAGAGCGAAGAAGTTCGTGTGGCAATCCTCTAGACTTGCTCCGTTGGTCTGAAAATTTGGGTGCGTCATGCCTGATCCATTCTTAGCGCTTCGACCACTCGACACAAAACTCGTCACAGCACGCTCACTATTCCCGAACCACCTCAGAAGCCACCATTTACCGAGATTTTCACCTTTCGATCACAACTGCAAAATGGCGGATAGGAAACAACAAGCCACACTAATTCAGCGCTTCCAATCCCGAGTCGAGACATTTCACAGTTTCACCGTGCGCTGCGGCTACGACGTACGTCCGCGGCAGGGGCGCCGCGCCGGAGAGAGCCGACCGCCGGCGGCAGGTCCTAGCGCGCCGACTCGCGCCGATCTAGTCGACTGCGATGGCGGCGCTGATGAGGCATGGCGTTATCCAAACCGTCCGAATGCGGCCAGCGACACACGTAAATACCCCTCAGAATTCTGGCGAAGGGCGGAAGGGCATGGTTAGGGCGTGCTGCGCCCTCGCCACGCACTGCACTCCGACGACGCCACAACGACTCTCTTGTTCCAGGTGCTGGGGCTGGCGACCAAGGCCGGGAAGAAGAAGGGCAGTCCGGACAGGAGGCAGCCCCCAGGGATCGACTCGACGGCACAGAGTATCGCGGCTAAAGGGTGCGTACCTCTGCTACGGTCAGATTCAACTGCGTGTATCGGGGGGAGCCATCCTTTGCTTTCCCAGAGGTGCGGGATTGCGACGGCAGGGAGCGCCACGAGACGGTCAATAAATCCGATACTGCGCGTGGACGGGACGACGGAGGCTAGGGAGAGTGGTCACGGCGGGCCGAGCGTGCGCAGACAGGTTTTTATTTGAATTCGGGGGGCTGGATGGGGAAAAATACCGACATTTTCACGTAATTCACGTTTAATTCGGATTTTCTTGGTTGTGTATGCGCTCGTCGCGACGTGGTGTCAAAATTCACCAGTTGCCAAAATGCCAAAAAACAGTAACAACAGTTTCTGCTGTTGCCTAACCTGCTCCAAATAGTTGGCGCTATATTATTTTTAAACGTTCAAGAAAGTTGGGTTATAGTAGTACCAAATTTTAACAATAATCGATAGCAAATTTTCATTCAAGTTAAATGTCACAGTCAACCAGTGTTGCCACACATTCAGAAGTAAATTATCGAGCATGCGCCCCAAAATTATCACATTTCGACTAAAATTATCGATTTGTAACATAAATAAAAATCACGTTTGTTATTTGCAACACCCGTGATCATGTAAAAGTCACTTTGTCTCGGTTCACTCTATCTACGATTTTTGAATTTCAAATTTAAATTAAATTACACTACTAAAATAACAATGTGTCAATATTTTAAAATTTGAAAACATATTTTCCAAATGTATATGTATGTTTATCGCATTAATTGCCTTGTTTGTGCAAAGTCGGCGAAAACTGGTTACACTGCCCCCCTTCTAACACTTACTCTCTTGCTACGTCTCTATTAGTAACGGAAATTCGCCCCTGTTACCACACTATAAGTAAAAAAATTACTAATGCGATGGGTATCAGAAAGTAAATGAAGTTATCTATCGACACAATAATGCAATTTCTGTACCGTTTTACACTAAACAAATATTCACTATGACGTGGAGTGATTGGTTGAAGCGATAAAAGCGGAAACTGTGATTGGTTTTTTTGACACACGTGACAATTTTTTCGCATTTTTAGTTCTTTAAGGACCCTCGAGAATTGAATTGTGAAACAAAATTGCTGTCTATCAATGTTTTCAAAAAAATTTTGCTGTAGAAAATTTCCGTACATTATTACTTATCCAGTTTGTCTGTACCCATCCACTATTTAATGAAAATATTTTGTTAATATCTGTACACCTAAATTTTATTTATTGAAGGAAATAACTTATCAGATTAGAATCCTTGGACAAAAGTGAGGTTAGAAATTTGTTTCAAAGGGAATAGAAATTAAATGTTTCCGTTCTTATGTGTGCTTTAAGCTTCAAGTAATTTCCGAAGTGGTTTAAGTATCTCTGTGCAGTAAAAACTAAATTTAATAAGTTCTAATAATATTTTTACATAATATAAGGTGTTTGTCGTCCTGTTCAAAAGTTCTGCGCTGAAACGGTAAAATTTTAAACGTTGAGAGTGAAATTTGTTGTTTTCATATTTTTGTTATAAAGCATTGTTTTACTACTTATGAAAAATTGTTTTTTGGTGAACATAGAAATAGCGTATATGAGAACGGATAGAGGTATTGAAATTCTGAAAAATCAAAACTGTACAACAACATTTTATTATTTAACTTTAAAATTGCAAAGTCGAATCCCTCCAAGAATTGATGATGCCATTTTAGAATTTTGTCGAATAAATGTTATTTAAATGTTAAAAAGTAACAGTGCTGAACTTATGGTTTATGAATCCGTGTTGAATTTTTATCCTAGACGTCGAGATTTTTGAAAAAAAAAAACAAAATATGTTTATGTATAACACTCAATTTTTCGGCTGTTCGATTTCTCGATTTTTAAATTCTTGTTTTCTCAATTTATTAGAGATGTACCGACTGTAGGTCTGGCCGACTAACCGACTAGCCGATTGTTCGGCCAGTAAAAACCGACTAGTGGGCCGACTGTTCGGCTTTGCTAAAACCGGTTTATAAATGCGACAGACAATGTGTTTTTTTTTTCTATTTCTCTGACTACCTTTAAAATTTGTTTTATTTTAATAAAAGGAATAACTAAAGTTCCTTTGTTTTCCAAAAAATGTATTAAATTTGTTTGGATAATTTTAACATTTAATTTTTTTTAGTAACTCAGTACAAAAATAAAGAATAACACAATTTAGGGCCAGTTTATATATACAATATTTTAACTGAGATTGAGTTGACCGCGCATTTAACAAGGCCATTAGCGACGTCTGATTGGCGTAGAGTCGGTCACATGATACTTTAAGGCGGGGTTAAAAATTAAATCGCAATTAAATATTCAATTGAGGTTCTGTAAACCGGGTTTAATTGTTTTATATACTATTTTAATTTTAATGAAAAAAGCCGACCGATCGGCTGTTTAGCCGACCAGTCGCCGACTGTAGCCGACGATGAAAAATGGCCGAATAGTCGGCTTATCCGACCGGTCGGCCACTAGTCGGTACATCCCTACAATTTATCGATATTTCAGTTTTAAGAATCTTCATTTTTTTTTATTCTACAATTTTCCATTGTTTAGATTTTACAATTCCTCGATTTTTCAAATTTTTAATTTCTTCTTTTTTCGATTTTTCGACTTCTCGACTTCTCGATTTCTCGATTCGATGTTCCAGTTTTAGGTTTCTTCGGTTTTTCGATCCATCAATTTTTCCTCCATTTTTCAGTTTTTCAATTTTTAAAATTTTAGGTTTTTCGATTTCTCGATTTTTAAATTTTTCACATTTTTGATGCTTCAATTTCTTGATGTTCCGATTTTTCGACTTCCCGGTTTTAGATTTTTCGTTTTTTCAGATTTTTGAATTCTTCGTTTTTCGATTTTTCGACTTCTCAATTTCTCGATTCAATGTTTCAATTTTAGGATTTTTCGGTTTTCCGATCCGTCAATTTTTAAAATTTTGGGTTTTTCGATTTCTCGATTTTGAAATTTTTCAATTTTTTGATGCTTCGATCTTTCGATTTTTCGACTTCCCGGTTTTAGATTTCTAGGTTTTTCAAATTTTCAATGTTTCGAATTTTCTAATTTTTTGATGTTTTAATTTTTCAATTCATGGATTTCCCAATTTATCGTCATTCCACTTTTGGAATTTTTCCATTTTTCTATTTTCCTGTTTTTCAATTTTTCAATTTTCCGATTTTTCAATTTTTCGATTTCTGGATTCTCGATTTTTTTATTTTTCGGGTCTCTGATTTTTAAATTTTTCGACTTATAAATTTTGAATTTTTAAATTTTTGAAATTTCAGATTTTTTGATATCTCCATTTCTCCAATTTTTAATTGTTTCAGTTCTTCGATATTTCGATTTTTAATTTTTGATTTTTCAATTTTTAGATTTTTTAAATTTCACATTTTCGATCTTACAGTTTTTTGATATTTCGATTTCTTGACATATGAGTTTTTCAATTTATGAAAATTTTCGACTCTTCGATTTTTAGGTTTCTTGATTTTTCAAGTTTTCGTTCTCGCTATTTTTCACATTTCAATTGTGTAATTTTTCAATTTTTGGATATTTTTAATCTTTCGATTTTTCAGTTTTTCATTTCTTCAATTTTTCGATTTTTCCGGTTTTTGATTTCTCAATTTCTCGATACGATATTTTAATTTTGGGATTTTTCATTAATTTTTCTTCCATTTTTCGACTTTTCGATATTTCGATTTCTCGATTTTTCGATATTTTAATTATTTCAATTTTTAGACTTTTAGACTTTCTTTTTCTAGATTTTTCGATTTTCAGTTCTTCCATATTCGATATTTCAGTTTTTTTATGTTTCTATTTCTTGATCTTTCGATTTGTCGACTTCTTGGTCTTTCAATTCTTAAAATTTTCAAATTTTTCGATGTTTCAGTATTTAATTTATCGATTTTAAATTTTTTTGTCATTCCACTTATGGAATTTTTCACAATTTTTCGATATTTTTGTTTTTTAATTCTTCAATTTTCTGATTTTTCGATTTCCCGATTATCGATTTTTGATTTTTCGGCTTTCTGATTTTTCCAGTTTTAAATTTTAGATTTTTGATTTTTTTTTTATTTTCGATTTTTTGATGTCTCCATTTCTCGATTTTTCCATTTTTTCATTCTCCAGTTTTTCGATTTTTCAGATTTTCGATATGTCGATTTTTATGTTTTTGAATTTTCAGTTTTTTGATGCTTCAATTTCTTGACATCTGGGTTTTTCAATTTATGAACATTTTCGACTCTTTCATTTCTAGATTTCCCGATTTTTCAAGGTTTCAATTTTGGTAATTTTTCAATTTCTGGATTTTTTTAATGTTTCGTTTTTTAGTTTTTCATTTCTCCAATTTTTTTATTTTTCATCTTCTCGATTTCTCAATTCGATATTTCTATTTTGGGATTTTTCAGTTTTTCGATTTTTCGACTTCTCGATCTTTTACTTTTTCATTCAATTTTTCTTCCATTTTTCAATTTTTCGATTTTTCTCCGTTATTTTGATTTTTCGATTTCTCGATTTTAGATTTTCGATTTTTCAATTTTTTCATTCTTCAGTTTTTCTATTTTCCAATTTTTCGATTTTCTAAAATTCGGCATTTTTCGATTTTGCAGTTTTTCCTCCATTTTTCAATTTTTCGACTTTTCAATATTTAGATTTTTCCATGTTTAAATTTTCCATTTTTAAAAGTTTACATTTTCGTTTTTTCGATTTTTCAAATTTTCAATTCTTCCATATTCGATATTTCAGTTTTTTTATGTTTCGATTTCTCCATCGTTCGATTTTTCGATTTATCGGTTATAGATTTTTCGGTTTTTCAGTTTTTAAAATTCTGCAATGTTCTGATGTTTCAGTGTTTAAGTTTATCGATTTCCCAATTTTTCTTCATTCCACTTTTGGAATTTTTCAATTTTTCGATTTTTCCGTTTTACACTTCTTAAATTTTCTGATTTTTTCTATTTTTCAACTTCTTGATTCTCGATTTTTTGATATTTCGGCTTCCTGATTTTTCAATTTTTCGATTTTTAAATTTTAGATCTTCGAATTTTTTAAATTTTCAATTTTTGATGTCTTCATTTCTCGATTTTGTAATTTTTTCATTCTTCAGTTTTTCGGTTTTTCAGTTCTTTTATATTATGAATTTAAAATTTTTATGGTTTTTCAGTTTTTTGATTTTTCAGTTTTTCGGTTTTTTTAAATTTCACATTTTTCAATTTTAGAGTTTTTGGATGTTTTTATTTCTGGATATCTGGGTTTTGCAATTTCTGAAAATATTCGGCTCTTGGATTTTTAGATTTCTCGATTTTTCAAGTTTTCGATTTCGCTATTTTTCAACATTTCAATTTTGGGGATTTTTCAATTTCTGGATTTTTTTCGATTTTTCAACTTCTCGATTTCTGGATTCGATGTTTCAGTTTTGTGATTTTTCAGTTTTTCGATTCATCAATATCTTCCGCTTTTATTTTTCGACTTCTAGATTTTTTACTTTTTCGATTCAATATTCGATTCATATTCGATATTTCATTTTTTTTATGTTTCGAATTTCCGATATTTCGATTTCTCGATATATCAATTTTTCGATTTCTCGGTTTTAGATTTTTCGATTTTTAAATTTTAGATATTTTGACGTCTCCATCTCTCATTTTTTCAATTTTTTTCATTCATCAGCTTCCCGATTTTTCAGTTCTTCCATATTTCAATATTTTAAATTTTTGATTTTTCAATTTTTCGATTGTTTTAAATTTGACATTTTTCGATTTTACAATTTTTTCATGTTTCGATGTCCTCACATCTGGGTTTTTCGATTTATGAGACGCTTCAATTTTTAGATTTCTGGATTTTTCGATTCGATGTTTCAGTTTTTCCATTCACATTTTATCTTCCCTTTTTCAATTTTTTGACTTTTCGATTTTTCGGCTTCTCGATTTTGTACTTTTTCGATTCAATTTTTCTTCCACTTTTAAATTGCTCTACTTTTCGATTTTTCGATGTATTAATTTTCAATTTTTAAAATTCTAGATTTTCGTTTTTTCGACTTCTCGGTTTTAGATTTTTCGGCTTTTCAATTTTTAAAACTTTCCATGTTGTTTCGACATTTGAATTCATTGATTTCCCAATTTTCGTCATTCCAGTTTTAGAATTTCCCAATTTTTCGATTTTTAAATTTTTGATTTTTGAATTTTCGATTTTTTGATGTCTCTATTTCTCGATTTTTCAATACTTCAATTTTGCGAATTTTTCAATTTCTGGATTTCTCAGTTTTTTGAAAAGCATTTTCTCCTTGGTTATCACTGTTATCAGCGTTAAATATATTTTTGAAAAAAAGCTATTGTACACGTAGTACAGCTGTCAAAAAATAGAAAAAAAAAAGAATAACGTTAACACAAAAATTGTATATTTTGAACAGGTGTTTTTTTTTTTGAAAAATATTATTTTCGATTTATGTCCTAAAAATACACAAAGCGACTTTTCATTTTTTTCTCTTATATAAGCAAAACATCTGAATTGAATAATTGTCAAAAAATAGCCAAAAATATCCTGACCAAAAACAAAACTTTATGGAAATAGGAAGCTTCATCTTCCACTAATTGGACGACCCATATGCTGCGCTGACCTGACTACAGTTCCACTTGAACATCAATTCGATAAATTCACTCAACTTCAAGAGCTTATTTATATACTATTTTTAGTGCCTGATTTTTTAGTATTCATATCACAGAGTGGCTATTGATTTTTGAAAGAGGAAAAATACACCTGGCAGCCATACTGTTTAACATGCTATTAAACTTGATTTTTATCGAATATATCAAAATTTTCACAGCTTAAAAAAGGACAACTTATCTCAAAGGAGATTGTCTACTTACCTTGAGTAATTAATTATTATTTGTTAAATTGGGCAACTATTTAACTTAATATTATTTACATCATAGTTTCCACTAACTGTCACGCCTTAGGGTCGTCATAATTCGTCTATTATTATATTTTTCTTTTTTTATTGTGTGTGTTTATTTTAAATACGCAATTTAATTTTTAACCTCTGGCAATATCCATAGGTTTCTACATACTCGACAAAATTATATATATTTCACGCGGTCTTAAACAGTCTTTAAGCAACAGGTGGTGACTCTTTAACATTAAAACATGCAATTACGGATGCTATAATGTGGAAATAAAATTTAGTTTTTGCGTAAAAACGAAAATCGAGCTTTAAACAAGACATAATTTATAATTTTACCATTCATAGTAAAAAAATAAATACGAAGAGACCATGAAAACATGATTATAATTATACGATTAAGATTCAACGCCAGATGAGTGCTTGTGGTTTCTTAAATCGTCGTTATTTTTTTAAATGACAATAATTACTACCTAATTATTTATTAAGTGAAAAATTATTAATAATTAAAATTTTGCGTAATTTTCTTGCAAACGAAACTCACTAGCTGACACACTTTTCAGCTTGGAAAACCCAGCTAATTGTCAATTGTCCACGAGCGAATAAAATTTTCATTCGGCCCGATTTAAATTTAGCCCGCGCGCCGCGCATGCGCGGGTCGAAAGTGGCCCCCTGTCCCCAGCCGGCACAAATCGAATTCTCTGGGATTCGCTATTGAATATTTAAACGATTTTTTAGGTTCCTGAGGCCGCAGAACAGCTACACTCCGCCGAGCGACGTGGAAAATAAGCTAGACGGCGTTTTCGAGAAAATTCTAGGCAGCTCGAACGGCGACACGCCCGTCGGCGATCTCACTCAAAAATTCCATCTATGTAGCGCTTGTGCCAAGGAATTCGATCATCCAATTCCGAATTCGCTTCTGCATACTATCGAGACTTTAAACGATATTAAGAAGTTTTACCGGACTCCTGTTGATACGATTACGCCTCTGGACAGAATGCGCGACATGGAGCTGCCGGAGAACTTGCACGTGCAGTTCGACTATCACCGGTTTCTTCCTGGTAGTTATGATGGGTGGAGTCGTGGGGGTGCTGATGGGTTTGTTGCAGAGACCGACACGATGTTCAAGGGACAGACGGCGTTTAATAGGAGTTCGACGCTGGTGACGGGGTTGAAGTACAAGAAGAAGTATAAGGGGCATGTTCAGAGCCAGGAGTGGCCTTTGAATTCGTGAATGGATGGTAGTTGAATTAGTATTATTAAATGAATTGGAGGAAATTGGTTTTTGTTTTGTCTCCTGTGAGTATGCAACCAGTGTTTCGTGCGTGAGTGGGAGGTGTAGCGACTTGTTATTGCAAGCTGGTCAGTTTCATGTTTTCTCGACGTTTCATGACCTCTAGAGCACGGAAAAGATGGTCTTCCGTTTCCGCCTGTCGTCTGTGTCAATTTTCATTAGACGCACAATCTCCAAAACCCTAGGACTCCAGATTTTTTGATAAAAAACCGAAATTGACTGCAAAACCGAAAGCTCTAACATCTTACAAACGTTTTAAGGTTATCATAACCGTGATAAATCGTTAGTCATTTTTTGTAATAAATTCTTTGAAATATGCAAAACATCATGACTATACTTGTGGTTTATGAATGCACCCACTGTTTTTAGAATTAGTTATTATGTACAGCGTGACCGAAAAAAATGAATGAATGAGGCAATTCATTTTATTATATATCTTATAATTTTTCCAAAAATCTGGATCCCACAATTTTTTATTATCACAGTTTTGCGTTTTGTTCAATTTTTTCTCATTTTTCAATTTTTCGTTTTGCAGTTTTTCAATTTTGCAATTTTCGACATTACAATTTTTCAAGTTCTTGATTTTTACTTCCCCGATTTTTTTATTTTCATTTTCTCGATTTTAGATCACAATTTTTCGTTTATTCAATTTTTCAAATTTCCAAATTATCCGATGTTCCGATTTCTTTAATTTTCATCATTTCGATGTTACAATACATATTTTGATTTTTGAATTTTTCGTTTCTTCAATTTTTCAACTTCTTGTTTTACAATTTTTAGATTTTTCAAAATTTTCATTTTCTACATTTTCGTTTTTTCAATTTTGATTTTTCAACTTTACGATTTTGCAGTTTTTCCATTTTTTCGATTCGAAATGTTGAAAAATCGAAAGACTGAAAAATAGAGAAATTAAAAATCAGAAAAACTAAAAATCGAGAAATCGAAAAAAACGAATCGACAAGAAAAATTGGAAAATTCAAAAATTGTAAAATTGAAAAATGACAGAATCGTCAGAATTGTAAAATCGAAAAAATGTAACAATGAAAGATCAAAAAATTGAAAGTTTTAATCCAGTAATAAAAAAAGGAAAAACTCTAATATCGTAAAATTGAAAAGGGGAAAAATTTTAAAAATTACAATTATCGTTACATATTTAAAATGGAAATTAGAAAAAATGCAATTCAAAAATTGAAAAATCGAGAAACTGAAAAATCTGAAATTGAAAAATGGATATTTTAAATTAAAAAGCGGAAAAATTGAAACATTGAACAAATAAATAAAAGTCGAGGAACTTAATGAATCCAAAATTTAGAAAGAAGAAAAAACTAATCGAATCGAAAAATTGGAAAACCCAAAAATTATAAGAATTGTCAAAATTGTAAAATCGAATAAATCAAAACGTTTTAAAATCCAATAAATGAAAAATGGAAAAATTCTAAAATCGTAAAATTGTAAAAATGAAAAATTTTTGAATTTACAATTATTACATATTTTTAATGGAAACTAGAAAAAATGCAAATCAAAAATTGAAGAAACGAAAAATTGAAAAATAAATAACTTAAAAAATTTAAAATTGAAATATCGAATAATTAAAAAATCCAGAAATGTAAATAAAAGAAAAATTATAAAATTACATCAAAAAAACGAAAAATTGAAAAAATAATGAAAATAAACCGAGACGAAAACCTGGAGAAATGAAAAATTGAACAAATCTAAAAGTTGGAAAATTTCACATTAAACAAATTTAAAATTATGAAATTAAAACATTGAAAAACCGAAAAATTGAAAAAATAAAGAAAATAAACCCTAACGGAAAATTGGAAATTTAAAAAAATTAAAACTCGAAACGAAAAATTGAAAAAACAAAAACTTATAAAATCGGAAAATATCGAAAAATTGTAAAAATAAAGCAAATAAAAAACCGAAATCAAAAATTGCAAATCAAACATTTGAAGAAATGAAAAACTGAAGAATCGAAAAATTGAAAAGTCGAACAAATGAAAAATTTTTAAAATCCAATGATAAAATTCTAAAACTATAAATTGAAGAAGCGAAATATTTTAAAAGTTATTAATATTATTATTGCATTTTCAAAATGGAAACTTGAAAAATTGCAAATCAAAAATTGCAGAAACGAAAATTTGAAAAGCATGAAATTGAAAAATTAAAAAATCTAAAAGTTGAAAAATGAAAAATTGAAAAACTGCGAATCGAAGAATTGAAACACAAAGAAAATAAATGCCGAAACAAGAAATTGCAAATCGAAAAATTGAAGACATAAAACATCGAAAAACTGAAAAACTGAAGAAACGAAAAATTGAAAAATAAGTAACTTTAAAAATTTAAAATTGAAAAATTGAAAACTTAAAAATTTCATATTGAACAAAAGAAAAATTATAAAATTAGAACACTGAAAAACCGAAGAATTGAAAAAATAAAGAAAATAAACCGAAACGAAAAATTGAAAAAATCCAAAAATTGGAAAATTAAAAATTGAAAACTCGAGAAATTACCAATCGAAAAATTTCAAAATCTAAAAAAACTTGGAAAATCGAAAAACTGAAGAGTCGCATATAAAATTGTGGAAATCCAAAAAAATGATAACTTGACACGAAAAATTGAAAAAACAAAAAATTATAAAATCGGTAAATATCGAAAAATTGTGAAAATAAAGCAAATAAAAAACCGAAATCAACAAAATAAAACATTTGAAGAAATGAAAAATTGGAGAGTTGAAAAATTGAAAAGTCGAATAAATGAAAAAGTTAAAAAATCTAAACGTCGAAGAATGAAAAATCGAAAAACCGAAAAACTGTGAATCCAAGAATTGAAAAATAAAGAAAATAAAAACCGAAACAAGAAATTGCAAATAAAAATTGAAGACATAAAAAATCGAAAAATTAAAAAATCCAAAAACTTAAAAATTTCACATTGAATAAAAGAAAAATTATAAAATTAGAACATTGAAAAACCTAAAAATTGAAAAAATAAAGAAAATAAAGCGAGACGAAAACCTAAAGAAATGAAAAATTGAAAAATGGATTACTTAAGAATTTAAAATTGAAAAATCTAAAAATGAAAAAATTCAAAAATTGAAATATTTCACATTAAACAAAAGAAAAATTAAAAAATTGAATCATTGAAAAATCAAAAAACTGAATAAATAAAGAAAATAAAGCGAAACGAAAAATTGAACAAGTGAAAAACTGAAGAAACGAAAAATGAAAAAATTCAAAAGTTGGAAAATTAAAAATTGAAAACTCAAAAATTTCTAAATCTAAAAAATGAAATTTTAAAAATGGGGAAAATCAAAAAACTGAAGAATGCAAATTGTAAACTTAAGTAAACCCAACCAATGAAAACTTAAAACGAAAAACTAAAAAAACAAAAAATTATAAAATAGGAAAATATCCAAAAATTGTAAAAATCAAAAATTGCAAATCGAAAATGTGAAGAAATGAAAAAGTTTTAAAATTCAATAATTGAAAAATAATGAAATTCGTAAACTGTAAAACTGGAAAAGGGAAATATTTTAAAAATTACTATTATTATTTATCTAAAGTGAAAACTTGAAAAATTGCAAATCAAAAATTGAAGAAACGAAAATTTGAAAGGACATGAAACTGATAAATCTAATATGAAAAAATGAAAAATTTAAAATTCGAAAATTGAAAAATTAAATAATTGAAAGCCGAAAAACTGCGAGTCGAAGAACTGAAAAATAAAGAAAATAAAAACCGAAATAAGAAATTGTAAATTAAAAAATTAAAAACATAAACAAATAAAAAAACTGAAAAATTGAAACGAAAAATTGAAAAAACAAAAAATGATAAAATCAAAACATTGAAAAAAAGAATAAAATAAAAAACCGAAAGAAAAAAGTACAAATCGAAAATATGAATAAATGAAAAATTAAAGAATATAAAAACTGAAAAACTAAAAGTTAAAAACTCGAGAAATTTTGAAGAAATGAAAAACTGAAGAAGTTGAATAAATGAAAGAAGTTTAAAATCCAACTATTGAGAAGTGAAAAAATTCAAAAATCGTAAAATTGAAAAAGTAAAATAATTTTAAAAATTCAATTAATTAAATTAAAACTAGGAAATTAGACAATAAAAAATTGAAGAAACGAAAAATTGAAATATCATGACACTGAAAGATCTAAAACTGAAAAAATGAAAAATTAAAAAATGTAAAAGTTGAACCATCGAACAATTGAGAACCGAAAAATTGAAAAATCCGAAAATTGAAAAATTATACATTGAAACATCGAAAAATTGAAAAAATAAAGAAAATAAAAAACGAAACAAAAAATTGCAAATTGACAAATTGAAGACATAAAACATTGAAAACTTTAAATCTCGTGAAATTGCAAGTCGAAAAATTACAAACTCTAAAAAGTTAAGCATCCAAATGTTGGAAATCGACAAACTGGAGAATTGAAGGAACGAAAAATTGTAAAAATTTGAATTGAATGAAAAAAATATAAAACCAGAGAACCTAAAAATTGAAAAATTAAAAATGAAAAATTGAGAATCGAAAAATTGAAAAGATTAAAATTTAAAAAACAAAAAATTATAAAATCGTAACATTGAAATATCTAAAAATTGTAAAAATAAAGCAAATAAAAAAACGAAACAAGAAATTGCAAATCGAAAATTTGAAGAACTGAAAAATTGAAGAATCGAAAAGTTGAAAAATCGAGAAATTATGACAAATCGAAAAATTGAAAGCTGAAAAATTGCGAGTCGAAAAATTGAAAAATTTCACATCGAAAAATTGTAAAATCTAAAAATCGAAGAAACAAAAAATTAAAAAAACGAGAAACTGAAAGAATTAAAATTGGAGAAACAAAAAATTATAAAATCGAAACCTTGAAAAATCGAATAATTGAAGAAATAAAGAAAATAAAAGTCTGAAACGAAAATTTAAAGAATTGAAAAATTGAAGAATCGGAAAGTTGAAAAGTCGAATAAATGAAAGAGTTTTAAAATCAGACAGTGAAATATTTTAAAAACTCATTATTACATATTTAAAATGAAAACTAGAAAAATTGCAAATCAAAAATTGAAGAAACGAAAAATCATGAAACTGAAAAATGTAAAATTGGAAAAATGAAAAATTCTAAAATCGTAAAATTGAAAAAGCAGCGAAATATGTATTTAAAAAATTGTTGTTATTACATATTTACAATGAAAACTAGAAAAATTGCAAATAAAAAATTGAAATATGAAACTGAAAAATTTTAAATTGAAAAATCCGAATTTCACACTTGAAAACCGAAAAATTAAAAAATAAAGAAAACAAGAAACCGAAACAAAAAATAAAACTCGAAAATATAAAGAATATAAAAATTGAAAACTCGATAAATTTTAAATCGTAAAATTGAAGAAACAAATAAATTAAAAAATTGTAAATCGAAAAATCGAAGAATCGTAAATTTGTAAAACATAAAAATCGAAGAAACAAAAAATGAAAAAACGAGAAACTGAAAGAATTAAAATTGGAGAAACAAAAAAATATAAAATCGAAAAAACTGAAATGAAAAATTCCAAATTGAAAAATTGCAAAATTCAAACTTAAAAACTCGAAAAATTCAATTTTTCAAAGAAACAGGATCTGTGGTCTACACTTTAGGGGCAAGGGAAGTTCTGTCGAAATAACCTTCGACCAATTTTTTGTTTGTGGAGCTGTCACTTGAGGAAAATATTGCTACAATCAGTCTGGATTAAAAATAAAACCACCTCACTTTATACAACAAATAAATGTATTTGTCAAGCACATTTATATAAATATAATCAATAAATTACTTACGTATAAAATAGATCGTTAAAGCGTAAACACTCACTGGCTTAAATACCCGATTAGAAAAATCTCCACAACAAAGTTAAAATTTGTTAAGCTTTCGTCATTTCCCAAACTTGAACACCCCCCCAACGCCCTTCCTGATGCTCTTATTCTCCGGTGCCTAAAACCCTCCATTAGAACCCCATCAAACCACCCCCCAAAACTCACATGTCGCACCCCAAACAGCATCCTCGCCTTATCCTCCTCCTGCGGCGACGAGCTCTCGTCCAGCGACCCCGTGTTCCTCTTAATTTGCAGCTTCTGCTTGATCGCCTAAAACCGCCAACTACAACCCCGAAACGCTCATCCACCCCTCACCTGCGAAAAAATCACCCTCTTCGTGTCGTTTCGGATCGCCATCAGAAAATCCAGCCACGTCCACGTCATATTGTGATACTCCAAAGTCGGAATGACGAGCGACACGTCCCGTAAATCTTCGAGGTTCTTCTCTTTGTTCCCTTTGTAACTGACTTTGACGGGCACTTCTGGTATTTTGATGTAGACGAACAGCTTATTTTTCTCGGCTCGTTCCTGCAATTTATGAAAATGGAGCCGGACGCGGCAGGGGAAGCTTTTACCTTCATTTTTTCCACGTCGTCGATCAGGACGTAGAAGTTCGAGTCTCGGTTGCGCTTTGGCGCCTTCACCTTTTTGGTCTTGGGCTCGGAAGTGCCGTCTTCGCTGACGCGGTCCGAGTAGTCGATGTTCTCGCTCTCGCGCTCAGGGAAGCAGAACTTCATCATGGTGCTGTAGAACTTCTTGGTCATGCCGATGGTGAGGGGGACGAGGTTGATCTCGAAGTGCTCCTTGACGGAGATGCCGCCCACGGGTTGCTTTTCGCGACAGAAAATACGCAGGACTTTCTAAAAAAAAAAAAAAAAAAATGAATTTTTATAAATTTTCGAGTGTCTCCTTTTTCAAAAAATGACACGGCTCGACTTTTCTGTCTCTGGACACTCAACGGTTTGAGAAACCGACTTGAAAGTTCACTCGTAGGACTAAAAAGCTTCAAGGAATCGAATGGTGTAAAGCGCAAGCCGGACTCTTAAATCGTTTTGGAGTTACGCCCCGTTGAATTTGAAAAACGCTTTTTGAATTCTGAGTAAAACGCGATATCGCTCGAAATCGGAGGAATGTTCAACAACTGAGGACAGAAATCGCTTCTGAGGTCCAAAATTAATCAACAAACTCTATTTCAGGCAGATCGGATAAATTCATTTTTGTGCTTTATTTTACAATAACTAAATTATGAAAAAAAAATCAAAATCTCCTTTTGATTGGCTGTCATCTTTCTGAAAATCGGTCGCTTTACTAACTGCAACCTCTCTCACAAGAATCCGAGTTTAAAAAATGTCTTCACAGACTCCTGAATTTTTAATATTTTTCGAGTGTCTCCTTTTCCAAAAAGTGACACCGCCTGACTTTTCCGTCTCTGGATACTAAACGGTGTGAGAATCCGACTTGAAAATTCACTCGTAGGACTAAAAAGCTTCAAGGAATCGAATGGTGTAAACCGCAAGCCGGACTCTTAAATCGTTTTGGAGTTACGCCCCGTTGAATTTGAAAAACGCTTTTTGAATTCTGAGTAAAACGCGATATCGCTCGAAATCGGAGGAATTTTCAACAACTGAGAACAGAAATAGCTTCTGAGGTCCAAAATGAATCGACAAACGCTGTTTCAGGCAGATCGGATAAATTCATTTTTGTAGTTTATTTTACAATAATTAAATTATGAAAAAAAAATCAAAATCTCGTTTTGATTGGCTGTCATTTTTCTGAAAATCGGTCGCTTTATTAACTGTAACCTCCCTCACAAGAATCCGAGTTCAAAAAATGTCTTCACAGACTCCTGAATTTTTCTTATTTTTTGACTGTCTCCTTTTTCAAAAAGTGACACCGCCTGACTTTTCCGTCTCTGGATACTAAACGGTGCGAGAATCCGACTTGAAAATTCACTCGTAGGACTAAAAAGCTTCAAGGAATCGAATGGTGTAAAGCGCAAGCCGGACTCTTAAATCGTTTTGGAGTTACGCCCCGTTGAACTTGAAAAACGCTTATTGAATTCTGAGTAAAACGCGATATCGCTCGAAATCGGAGGAATTTTCAACAACTGAGGGTAGAAATCGCTTCTGAAGTCCAAAATTAATCAACAAACTCTATTTCAGGCAGATCGGATAAATTCATTTTTGTACTGTATTTTACAATGATTAAATTATGAAAAAAAAAATCAAAATCTCGTTTTGACAGGCTGTCATCTTTATGAAAATCGGTCGCTTTACTAACTGTAACCTCCCTCACAAGAATCCGAGTTCAAAAAATATCTTCACAGACTTCTGAATTTTTATTATTTTTCGAGTGTCTCCTTTTTCAAAAAGTGACACCGCCTGACTTTTCCGTCTCTGGACACTAAACGGTATGAGAATCCGACTTGAAAATTCACTCGTAGGACTAAAAAGCTTCAAGGAATCGAATGGTGCAAACCGCAAGCCGGACTCTTAAATCGTTTTGGAGTTACGCCCCGTTGAACTTGAAAAACGCTTTTTGAATTCTGAGTAAAACGCGATATCGCTCGAAATCGGAGGAATTTTCAACAACTGAGGACAGAAATCGCTTCTGAGGTCCAAAATTAATCAACAAACTCTATTTCAGGCAGATCGGATAAATTCATTTTTGTACTTATTTTACAATAATTAAATTATGAAAAAAAATCAAAACCCCGATTCAAACTTCATATCTCGTTTTAATTTGCTGTCATCTTTCTGAAAATCGGTCGCTTTCCTAACTGTAACTTCCCTCACAAGAATCCGAGTTCAACAAATGTCTTCCCAGATTCCCGAATTTTAATTATTTTTCGAGTGTCTCCTTTTTCAAAGAGTGACACCACCTGACTTTTCCGTCTCTGGATACTAAACGGTGTGAGAATCCGACTTGAAAATTCACTCGTGGGACTAAAAAGCTTCAAGGAATCGAATGGTGTAAAGCGCAAGCCGGACTCTTTAATCGTTTTGGAGTTACGCCCCGTTGAATTTGAAAAACGCTTTTTGAATTCTGAGTAAAACGCGATATCGCTCGAAATCGGAGGAATGTTCAACAACTGAGGACAGAAATCGCTTCTGAGGTCCAAAATTAATCAACAAACTCTATTTCAGGCAGATCGGATAAATTCATTTTTGTGCTTTATTTTACAATAACTAAATTATGAAAAAAAAATCAAAATCTCCTTTTGATTGGCTGTCATCTTTCTGAAAATCGGTCGCTTTACTAACTGCAACCTCTCTCACAAGAATCCGAGTTTAAAAAATGTCTTCACAGACTCCTGAATTTTTAATATTTTTCGAGTGTCTCCTTTTCCAAAAAGTGACACCGCCTGACTTTTCCGTCTCTGGATACTAAACGGTGTGAGAATCCGACTTGAAAATTCACTCGTAGGACTAAAAAGCTTCAAGGAATCGAATGGTGTAAACCGCAAGCCGGACTCTTAAATCGTTTTGGAGTTACGCCCCGTTGAATTTGAAAAACGCTTTTTGAATTCTGAGTAAAACGCGATATCGCTCGAAATCGGAGGAATTTTCAACAACTGAGAACAGAAATAGCTTCTGAGGTCCAAAATGAATCGACAAACGCTGTTTCAGGCAGATCGGATAAATTCATTTTTGTAGTTTATTTTACAATAATTAAATTATGAAAAAAAAATCAAAATCTCGTTTTGATTGGCTGTCATTTTTCTGAAAATCGGTCGCTTTATTAACTGTAACCTCCCTCACAAGAATCCGAGTTCAAAAAATGTCTTCACAGACTCCTGAATTTTTCTTATTTTTTGACTGTCTCCTTTTTCAAAAAGTGACACCGCCTGACTTTTCCGTCTCTGGATACTAAACGGTGCGAGAATCCGACTTGAAAATTCACTCGTAGGACTAAAAAGCTTCAAGGAATCGAATGGTGTAAAGCGCAAGCCGGACTCTTAAATCGTTTTGGAGTTACGCCCCGTTGAACTTGAAAAACGCTTATTGAATTCTGAGTAAAACGCGATATCGCTCGAAATCGGAGGAATTTTCAACAACTGAGGGTAGAAATCGCTTCTGAAGTCCAAAATTAATCAACAAACTCTATTTCAGGCAGATCGGATAAATTCATTTTTGTACTGTATTTTACAATGATTAAATTATGAAAAAAAAAATCAAAATCTCGTTTTGACAGGCTGTCATCTTTATGAAAATCGGTCGCTTTACTAACTGTAACCTCCCTCACAAGAATCCGAGTTCAAAAAATATCTTCACAGACTTCTGAATTTTTATTATTTTTCGAGTGTCTCCTTTTTCAAAAAGTGACACCGCCTGACTTTTCCGTCTCTGGACACTAAACGGTATGAGAATCCGACTTGAAAATTCACTCGTAGGACTAAAAAGCTTCAAGGAATCGAATGGTGCAAACCGCAAGCCGGACTCTTAAATCGTTTTGGAGTTACGCCCCGTTGAACTTGAAAAACGCTTTTTGAATTCTGAGTAAAACGCGATATCGCTCGAAATCGGAGGAATTTTCAACAACTGAGGACAGAAATCGCTTCTGAGGTCCAAAATTAATCAACAAACTCTATTTCAGGCAGATCGGATAAATTCATTTTTGTACTTATTTTACAATAATTAAATTATGAAAAAAAATCAAAACCCCGATTCAAACTTCATATCTCGTTTTAATTTGCTGTCATCTTTCTGAAAATCGGTCGCTTTCCTAACTGTAACTTCCCTCACAAGAATCCGAGTTCAACAAATGTCTTCCCAGATTCCCGAATTTTAATTATTTTTCGAGTGTCTCCTTTTTCAAAGAGTGACACCACCTGACTTTTCCGTCTCTGGATACTAAACGGTGTGAGAATCCGACTTGAAAATTCACTCGTGGGACTAAAAAGCTTCAAGGAATCGAATGGTGTAAAGCGCAAGCCGGACTCTTAAATCGTTTTGGAGTTACGCCCCGTTGAATTTGAAAAACGCTTTTTGAATTCTGAGTAAAACGCGATATCGCTCGAAATCGGAGGAATGTTCAACAACTGAGGACAGAAATCGCTTCTGAGGTCCAAAATTAATCAACAAACTCTATTTCAGGCAGATCGGATAAATTCATTTTTGTGCTTTATTTTACAATAACTAAATTATGAAAAAAAAATCAAAATCTCCTTTTGATTGGCTGTCATCTTTCTGAAAATCGGTCGCTTTACTAACTGCAACCTCTCTCACAAGAATCCGAGTTTAAAAAATGTCTTCACAGACTCCTGAATTTTTAATATTTTTCGAGTGTCTCCTTTTCCAAAAAGTGACACCGCCTGACTTTTCCGTCTCTGGATACTAAACGGTGTGAGAATCCGACTTGAAAATTCACTCGTAGGACTAAAAAGCTTCAAGGAATCGAATGGTGTAAACCGCAAGCCGGACTCTTAAATCGTTTTGGAGTTACGCCCCGTTGAATTTGAAAAACGCTTTTTGAATTCTGAGTAAAACGCGATATCGCTCGAAATCGGAGGAATTTTCAACAACTGAGAACAGAAATAGCTTCTGAGGTCCAAAATGAATCGACAAACGCTGTTTCAGGCAGATCGGATAAATTCATTTTTGTAGTTTATTTTACAATAATTAAATTATGAAAAAAAAATCAAAATCTCGTTTTGATTGGCTGTCATTTTTCTGAAAATCGGTCGCTTTATTAACTGTAACCTCCCTCACAAGAATCCGAGTTCAAAAAATGTCTTCACAGACTCCTGAATTTTTCTTATTTTTTGACTGTCTCCTTTTTCAAAAAGTGACACCGCCTGACTTTTCCGTCTCTGGATACTAAACGGTGCGAGAATCCGACTTGAAAATTCACTCGTAGG